CCTCTTACATAACGAGGAAATAAATTAAGGAAAAAAGACAATCAAATGCGAAATTCGCCGCCAATATAAAACGTTTTAGCAGTACGTCCAGTGGACTTGGCATATACTTCGGATCTTTTGTTGTGTGGCTTATCGAGTAATCAGATTTAAGGTGATAATTAGGTTCTCACACAGCAAATAGCCCCGATAGTTTAATAAACGTTGGACTCCGATTGCTCAAGAGTCATGTTTCACCTACACAGCACTGATTATGAACCCGCAATAACCGATTAAGCGTTTATACCGTCACAACATAACTGGTTTACTAGGCCTTGCACATCTAGCTCGCTGACCTGTGTTATTTGACGATGTGTGATTTGATTCAACTATTTTTCACGCAAGAATGCCTCGTCGTCTTTGCTCTTCACAATGTTGTAGCAGATAACAAAAAGATATAATTTCTTATGATGGAACGAATTCACCGGTCAGTCAGATAAATTACTTTTGGATCGAAAACTCTCATGATGTTCTAGTGTCTCCATTGGCTTAGAAATCGTATAAAACTTTACCTGCACTTATTTGTTGCAACTTACAGTGAACCGAAAAGTTGTAATCCTTCAGTCGCTTCCGAATTGAATTTTATTGTTCATCCTGTCCTCTGGCCATTCACTTGTTCTACTGTTTAGTAACTTCCTATTAACGGTGGTTTCACGGTAAACCACGGGCTACTCTGCTTTTTCCACTTGACCAGATGATTTTCATTCTTTTTATATCATTGTAATACATTTTACACTTTACAGTTCCGAATAACTAACCTTCTGTGTGATTCCTACTGGTTGAGGTTGTGCTGCAAAGCCTCAGTATCTCGCGAGCCTATGTACGATGTTATTCAATCACAGATCATGGTGTTTTACAGGGAGCCTTCCTCTCGCGGGCACTATTTTATATATGCATTGAAAAACGCCCCACACAATCTACCTTTATTGTATGTAAGTATACTGACAATGTCATTTTGGGGTGCATTATTCCAATCATTGGGATATTTATTTTTCAAAGTAGTCTAGATGAGCTTGTGCATTGGTCATCTTCCAGATCCCTGATGTTGAAAACTTCTAAATTTCGTAATGCAATATCCTCGTTTCTCCGAGTTGACAAGTTCCGAGTTGTTTTGAATGTATAAGTACAAAATATCTAGGGCTTTTTATCCAGAAAAGTATCTTGATCTATTCACTTTGCCGAAATACTATATAGGGTTTGACAGTTGTCATTTTGCACACTTGGACTTAAAGTACTTTACGCTGGCTGTGATTTGATTTTTAAGTTTGTGACTGCATGCATTTTATCCCATTGATTCTCCTGTTCCCCTGTAATCTTCCCTTGGTTCCACAAAAGTTTACACATTGATTGTACGGTCCATAAGGTTTATTTTCAAATGCAGTGGAGTGTCTAGAGCGACCCTTGTGGATTTTATTTTTATCAAACATTTAGACACTGGTATTAACGGTCATCAAATTTCTAAAAGACACTTTATCGTCTAAATTTTTACCCGTCAAAAACTACCTATTTCCTCTACCTGTTCCAAATGTTCTCGTACTGCGTCAGACCGAAACACTGTTCTACCGTACCCGTCCTGCTTACTTGCTGATCCAAACAAAATTATGAGTATGTTGCGAAATTAATTGCTCAAGTGATGGGCGTAAAGATTTTGACGTTATTTTTTAACAGACATTACATAAACATCACCATTCGCAGTTACATTGTAACACCTACCAAGGTTCATATAGCATGCTTTGACTTCACTTGACTTGCCTTTGAATTTGAAATACGTTGGCAGCCGAAAATTGACCGAACTTTCTCTATCTAATAACCTGTGAAAGTATGTTTTCCAGCGCAATATTTTTGCAGTATTTCAAAATAGTAGTCTCGTGAATTAATGACTGACGCTAGTCCTAAGTCCTCAGGTTACTCCAAGTATATTTGCAATAGGTTAAACCACCATCGCATACCACAGATAGAAGCAGTCACAATGAACTTGTTCCTCAAGGAGGTTGTCTTTCGAAACCTTCTGCTTGACTACGATGGCCAATTCGCTATGATATATGCTAACAACCGTTCGCTGCTAAGAGATTGCAGTAAGAAAAAAGCAGTCCACATTAAGCGTGGTATTCGGGTTGGTTGCAACAGTGCGATCAATTTGTGATGAAGACTCAAACACTGCAGTGTTATTTCTCTTAACAACCTAATGTTTAATTCAGCTATATGACACGTTACGTTGGGTCAAGGATTCATGTATAAATGGAGGTGGCCCAGCAAATGGCTACGAACTCGAAGATTGCTATTTGATAAAGGAAAATCCATGATGAATTTACGAAGACGTCGTCAGCTTATGCATCTCCGTGATAAAGGTCTGATAAGGATATCTCAAAATCGTAGCAGCTGAGTTGAAAAACACACCTAGTTGGA